ATAAAAAAATTTTATAGAATCGACTATTGAAATTTTTCACAGAAAAATTGGTGCAACGAAATTTACATGTTGATAATATTGGTACATAAAAGCTGTAATTCCAATTTTTCATGATCTTTTATATAAAACATAAAATAAGTCCACTTACACCGTAAATTTAATTTCTTATTGTTATACATTCCCACGTCGTATTTTTGACAATAAAATAAATATTATATGCATTACATTTTATACTGTTTTCACTCATATACCCTTCTGTAAAAATATACCGACATGTGAAACGTAAATTTTTAATTTCTTTTTCCTGTTAAAGTTTTAATTCCTTAACTTCGAAAAATACAGTATTATCATTGTCTAGATAAACAGCAATGTACATTTCAATTTACATAAAAGTTATTACATTCTAATTGATTACCGAAAGAGATAATAACAAGATTTACAAACTTATATACATATGCCATTATTCTCATAAAGTAAAAATATAAACGGTAAAGATCTGTAAACAATTATGAGCGTTAATAATTCATAAATATTAGATCGTGTAATATGAAATGTCGGACTTTTCTTACTCGTAAAAGTTTGTAATTACTCCTGTTGTTGTTATTCCTTTGTTTTTCATATAAAAAACAGTTTCATTGTCGATTATCAGAGTACCACCTTGCAAAATAGTTTTTTTCGCGTTGTACATAATAACAATGTTTTCCTATAATTTTTGAAAACATGGATATCACCAACATTTGTGTAATTATCTTATATGAATTCAACCTTGGAAACAATACTGCAAAAACCGCTCAAAATATAAACAAAGCAATTGGGGATAATACTGTGAATGAAAGAATAATGCAACGTTAATATGCAAAATTTCGTTTCATTGACATTTCTTTGTAAAATGAGCCGCGTGGTAAATCCGAAATAGTAGTTTATAACGATGTCTTTAGAATTGATTAATTCTAAACATTCAGAATTTTTCAAAAAATGATTATATTCATTAAAAACAAGTTGGCAGAAGTGTATTGAATCGATTAGAGCATAGTTTGATTGAATAAACGTCTTTTAGAACATCAAATAAGGTTTCCCGTAAAATTCGGCATTTTATATTACATGACCTAACACATTATTCTATACTAATAACGCATAAGGGTGCGGTTATACTAGATGTATCTTCGAATGAAGTAGTGTTCTTACAGACTCGATACGTCAAAACAATCAAATATACATACAGATTTACAAAAGTATATACAAAGAGATTTTCGCGTATTTAATCGTCAAAGCACCAATTCGTCCGAATACATATCTAATATAATCACAACCTAAAACATTAAATGCTATGTATAATTTTTATTCCTTAATGAAAGATGGATGTTTGAGTCTTGTACTTCAATTTTGTTGTTTTCTTAACTATTGTATTCTTTTGCTTTCATAATTTCTTTCAACGACCTTATGTTAGGCGTTAGGCAGTCGTACAAGAAATAAACGACTTTCTTAGATCGAATAACAAGATACGCTTTATTTTAAATGTATTGATGAAGTGCATCTGTTATGAACTATTATGGTTGCAAAAACATTCTATTGTATTTACATATGTACAATAGTCTTCAGAATTGATAAACGTTTTACTATTAATCTTCCTGTTGGAAAGGAAAATGAATGTTCTTGTATAAAAATAGAAAAGAATCAGTAATTTTGACTTAGTTTTTACAGTATATTTAAAATATCTGATTATATATACATAGATAAACATTAATAATGATAATTAAGAAAAAAAGAAAAAAAGAAAAAATACATGCCGCATGTACCAATGATGAATACTTCGATTAATTTTCCGTTTACTTAACAATTTATTGAATTAATGATTTTATAAGATTATGGATAAATAGAAAATGTAAAATGTATAGCAACAAAAATTGTAAACTAGACATTATTCATGCCTAAATTAAATGAACCAGGAAATAACTTTATGAATTCCTGATTAATTATTAAGTGGTTATCTTTATTCATATACATATGGG